AAACACTCTACATACATTTTAACATGGAGCATGCTCGAACTTGTGCCTCCTCCACAATGGGCAAGGTTACAAACCAGTTGATCCACCGGACCTGTTCTGTAAAATTACTACACAACATTATATTTATTCATTTGGAATGACCCGGCGGTTTGAACGGTTGAACCGGTTAAACCGGCTAAACCGAGAACCAGAGATCAAAACGGTTTGACCTCCGGTTCGATTTTTAAAACTTTGCTTTTAGGGAACTTCCTAGCTTATTTTTTAAGGGTATAAGATAAGAATGTATTTATTTTTTTATTATTAAAGTGTATAATAAAATAAAAATTAACTTTAATTTTATTAATTATCTAATTAAATTATACAATATAAAACTAATATTAAAATTAAAGTTTAATTTCATAATTTTTATATAAATTAATAATAAAAATATATAATAAATATATAATTAACATTTATTTTAAAAAACTAAGTTAAAAACCTGCATTTATTTCCTTTATTAATTTCACATTTAAAAAAATTAAAAAGTCAACAAAAAAATGGCTACATCAAGTCCAGCTCGACAGTGGACCCTACAAAAACATGAATCCGGTTAAGTTTGGACAGAATGATGACATTAGCCGTTGGAGAAGGGTTGATTTGCCACCGTTGACAAGTTTAAGGGGTCATTTGCCACTGTTTTCAGTTTAGGAGTTTTTTTCTCACCTCTCAACAAGTTTAAGGGGTAAGTTACATGATTTGCCAACCCTAGGCATTAATCCCCTTTTAAGGTTAAGTTCGCTTCCTCTAAAATTTCACTTCCTTCTAAACTCAAAATATTCCCATTGGAATCCATATTGAAAAATTTTTTAATGCCTAAAAAATTCAAAATATTACAGCATAACCTTTTTAAGTCCATAGAAGAAGATCAATAGGAAGAGGAAATTAGTGTCCTAGAGCGCCAGACGGTGGCTGTCATTAGGGGGTGGAATTTCCAGCTATACAAGAGGAAAAATGCTATACTACTAACGATTCCTATTTAAATGTTTCATACAATATTATTGACTTATTAGAAGGCTGTTTGTAGACGTATATGTATCAGTACGTTCAACACCATATCATTATATTACGAAACAAATATACAAAAATTGCTTTGAAAAAAAAAAAGAAACCACTGTTATCTGAGTTTATGTCGCCTATGCATTTTGTCCCTCTATTTTGTATAGTCCCGCTATTAATTTATTATTTTATTTTATATTTTAAATTTTTATCATGTCACTCTACTTTTATGTTAATTTTTACTTAACATTAATTTTAAACCCTGCTGTCTTTTTTTTTTTTTTTTATAATGATATAAGAATAATTTTTTTTGTATAATTTTTTTATATAATTTTTATATGTTATTAAATAAATAAATATATACAATATAATAATTTTTAATAAATTAAAAATAATTAATTATTAAATAACATATAAAATTGTAAAAAAAATCGTCTCTCGTTTACTTATTTATTTATTTATTTCACCGACGAGCAGATTTGTTTTGGAATCTAGAAAAGTTGATCCCAGCCACAGCATTCGGCCATTCTCGTAACCGTGATTTGGAAATGCTCCAGTGGATTTAAAAGCAATGGCCGTATTGTACCATCACATTTTAACAGTCGCCGAGGTTACACGATTGAGATTTTTTAATTGCCAGAATTAGTGCTAGTTTAATGAGATTTTTTACGTATTGACAATTAAAATGTTTTTATGAGGAAAAATCATTCTCATTCTCAAACCAGATTGTGTTAAGAACTAGTACTCCTTCAATCGAGCTTGAGTTTGATAAAACCCTAATAGCTTATAGAGCTTAAAAATCAACCACAACTCATTTAACAATAGAGTGACACTAGATCCCTGCATGCAGTAACTTCTACCAAATATGCTTATTTGCACTTTCAGTTGCTGGTAAGTAATGACGGGTACCAACGGCAGAAAGCAAACAGAGAGCAGCCTTTTTCTCTGCCAAAAACACCCATAGTATCCATAACTAAAACACTTACCAAGTTCAGTTTGCAAAGTGAAACTAGAAACACGCATATATTAATTTTATAGACCTAATGTAAGAAAACCCTTTTCCATTTTGTTGAAAAAGAAGGTTATTGGTAAGACTGAGTCACATGGCAATTGTAAGAAGGGTTGATGAGTATTCTTCACGAATATTTAAATAATAGTTCTTTTTTTTTTTTTTTTGGCCAACAAATCAGAGCATATAAGTATTAATCCTTAGCCAAAAACTGTATGCCGCATGCATCTCCAGGTAAGATAGAGTATTCAAAAGGTTTTAACTAGCCAAAGAAAAAGACTAGGCCAAAGGAGAAAAAAAGGGAAAAAAACAATCACAAAGAACAGAATTCACTAATTAAAAGCAACAAAATTTCAACGAGACAACACAAACAATAGTAAAACTAAGTGCCCAATAAGAACTTAGCTTGATAAAGCTGTCTCACCCAAAAGAGCATAACTACACTGCGAAGAAGATACCCAAAACACAAACTCTCATTTCTCATTTTCAAATTCAAGGGACAGAATGCACTAAACACAAAAACCTTAAAATGATCACAAATAGCCAGAATCAGCCAAAAACACTGTTTAAAATGTCAGAATTCGCTCACAAACAAGCTGTTAACTACTTTGGCAACAAAACTATTAGATAAAATATGCTCTAATTCCCAAATAACATAACAGCCAAAAATATTTATTGTACAAAACTTATTTTGTGAAATGCAAACAAGAGCAATAAACTGAGAGTAAAACCATCTTGTTGAGTCTATAACAATCTCAAAAGCACAAATCTCAGCATGTAACAGATACACCAATCTCCTACTAAGTAAAGACTAATATTCAATATACAAACCAAGATGAACAATACATAATGATCACAAGTCACAACCAAGATGATAAAATAACAAATCAAACAACTTAATAACATCATAATAACCTGACCAAATAAATAATCACAACAAAGAGCAATAAATCTGAATCTTGCATTAGAAACCAAGAGATATCTCAACTTGTGCCAGCAGAAACAAAATCACCAAATTTTTCATTCTCACAAAGCAAATCATCATTATTTTTTTCATTCAATCATAATTTAGGATTTATCAAAATTAACAGGTTAACTACGTATTGCATGATCGATTAGCGAAATTAAGGGGGTATTAGCATTTATAAGTCATAAAAACCAGGACAACAAAACATAAAGTAAAAGAGCAGCAACTCATACAATTTAAGAGCAAATTGAATTCCGAGATAAGCATTATGGTGGCAGTAACAATAGATCCAGAAATATATCATAAAAGAAAGCTTCGAATCTGTCCATACAAGACACCAAAATGACAGCAAACTCTACCATAATAGCAACTATAAATTAAGTTCAAAAACAACATTTTGAGAAAACATGAAGGGCTGCCGACGAAATCAAAACCTGAGCTTGGTGAAGAACCACCTGTTCTTGCCGGTCTTGAACCTCTCCTCGAATCTACTCTTGGTCTCCTTGCAGGCAGCCACCTTCTTGTCTTTGCTCTGCAGAGCGTCCAGAGTAACCACATCCTTCAAATCTACATCGAGGGTGTAGCGGGTGGGCATGAGGTGCTGGTAATTGACGAGCTTGATGAAGCACTTCACGCGGGACTTTTTGGCTGTTTTCTTAGCGGAGTCCTTCCGTATGACCTTGCTAGGGTACTTTTTTATGCCGGCGACCAAGCAGTGGCCGTAGGGGCGATCCCGCGTGCCGTCGTCGAAGGACTTGACGATGACAGCCTTGCGACCGGCATAGCGGCCTTGAAGGACGATGACGGCCTTGTTTGGCTTCAGGAACTTCACCATTTTCTCGCTCTCTCTCACTCCGTTTCCTACACCCAAATCCTAGGAGCAGTCAGAGGCCAAATACAAAAATCAGCATATATATAGTTGCCAGAAGGTGAAACCCTAGCCCTAGATGGGTATATATGTTGGGCTTCTCTTAAGTATATAGTTTGGGCCTAAAACGGAGTAGGCTGCGTTACTCACCCCTTTTGGACCTTTTACTCGTGTACTCTTTCTTTTTTTTTAATGAAAACAAACGAAAACATTTTGTATAGCAGAGAAGTTTACACCAACAACTTAGGCCGTGCAGCTTGTGAGAAGGCCTTCTTGGCTTTAAAAGCACAAGCTGCACCAAACATCACAGCTTATAAAACTTGCTGCAACTTCTTAGAAGTTGGTCTTCTCCCCATTCCTTTGCAAATCTAGGAAGCATCGATTTGGTGCTTTCACGACAACTTCTCACTTCTGTTTTAATGAAATTAAGATTTTATTCCTATTTTATCCTTACACTTCCTTTTATTTACAAAAAACCCACTATATATAGGGTTCCATTTATAATTTCCCATTTCTTTCTTTCTCGAACAACCTAGAGCTGCGTTTCTTCTCCCCGTGTTCTTGAACAAAAACCTACTTTTAGCTCCTCACCTTACTAAATTTAAAGATTTTAGCCCTTTATCTTATATTATGACATTTTTAACCCCTAACCATACTAGATTTATAGGTTTTAACTCCTCACTTATTAAAATTGAAGAAAATAACCCTCACTGTATATTGATTGTTAACTCTGTTAGCTAAAAGTAGATTTTTATCAACTAACAGTCAACTAATAGCCAACTAACAGAAGTAACGAAATGTTATAAAGTTAATTTTGTTAATTCTGTTAGTTGAAAGAAAGTTTTTGACAATTAATAGTCAACTAACAGTTAGCTAACAGAGTTAACAGTTAACTAACAGAGTTAACAATCAGTTAACAGAACTAACAAAATGTTACAAAGTGATGGTTATTTTCTTCAATTTTAATAGGCAAGGGGCTAAAAGTGTCATAGTATAAGGTGATAGGCTAAAACCTACAAATCTAATAAGGTGAGGAGCTAAAAATGTCATAATATAAAGTAAAGGGCTAAAATCTTCAAACTTGACAAGGTGAGGGGCTAAAGGTAGGTTTTGCCGTCTTCTTGCCCATCTTCTTCCTAAGCAAACTGGAAAATCCCCACCATCTAGTCACCTTTTCTACGTTCTCCCTAACTATTTCAAAGTAGAAAAGCAACTCAACCAACAAAAAGGCCAAAATCCCCTTTCCCCTTTCTCATTCTTCTTCTGTGTGTCTCCTTCCTTTTCTCTGATTTTTTTTTTTTTTGTCCTTTTTGGTGTTTCTGCTACTAATTTGGTGGTGAAGAATGATGGCTGTTGGTTGGTAGCATGAGTTGGTGAGAAAGTTAATTGAAAATCCCTTCTCATTTCCCGTCTTCTTCCAAATCTAGACCACGTGACCACCGCCGATGACCACCTAAACCACCGCGAAATCCCCGTCTTCTCCCTAAAAATCCCTAATTACTGTGACTTACTGGGAGACGAGAGGATTTGAATACATTTTCAAGTAAGCTACCCTTCCCTCCTTCCCCTTTATTTTCTTCTATTTTTCCCACCCCAAATCCCTAATTTGAGTGCTATTTTTTCCATTCTTGATTGGTTCTGTAGTGAACCCATTGCCATTGGGATCTACAAAGCCACTACCAGTAAGCACCCGTTGTTTTCCTTTCTTTTCTTTTTGATTGAAGATTTTTGATTGATTATTGTTGTTTCTTCTTCTACTTCCTCAGGTCAAATCTCTTTGTGTCCTGTACTCTGACATTGTTTCCACATTTTTCTTCTGTTTTTAATTGTTGTTTCCATTTTTGGATAATAAGCTTCATGGGTTTGTGGCAAAGAATTGGTAAATAGTGATGCTTGTGTGCTCTGCCTCTTGTTTGCAGTAACTTTTTCTTCTCTATTGAAATAATTTTTGTTGCGAAGAAAGCTGAGGATAGGTGGAGAAGAGTAGAATAGAATATTGTGTTTTGCTCGTTGTTGAATCAGTCAAATCAATTTTGTACTATTGGATTATCTTCTTCTTATTATTATTTTTTTAAGTAATTTAATTCATATTGATTAGTGGAAAATACAAAGAAAGGTTGTACATTGATTAGGATGTTTAAACATATTTGTCTCTCCGGTGAATGGTTTTAGTCATGTAATGGAATTATGGAGCAGATAAGGCTTTAACATAAGAATGTTGAACATTGGTTCATTGCATTTTGGTGGTCAGCATCGTGAGCATGGAAAGCATCCTCTAGAGCAGGATGTCCATGGATACTGATTTAGTTTCTAGTTCGTCTCTCTCTCTCTTTCTCTTTTTGGTTCATGATTGTCATGTTACAACTTCCAAAATAAAAGTAGGTCTATTTCTACTACTACTGTTCTATGACCAGCCATTCGGTAAATGTAGCTTACTGCCCTTTTTCTATTGTGCAGGTGGTGTGCAAGTTCACAATTCTAGGATATGGAATGTGAATGTCTTTAATTTTTTTTTAACCTATCCTTTTTTATTCCCTTCATGGTGCTTGATTGTGTGTAACTCCAAAGCATGCTTCTCTTATTTTATTTTCAGCTTCTTTAGAAAAAAGAAAGAACGAAAAAAAAAGAACGAAAAAAAAAAAAACTTTAAATGAGGAGTCAAAATTTTGTACTTCTCTTCTCGCTATTTTGCCTATTGACATAAGATCAGCTTTTTCCATGCTTTTTAACTCTTAGAATCACACCAAATTTAGGTGGGATTTAGTTTATATCTATTAATCTGCATTTGGAAACCTACGATCCTCTTGATTTTGCTTAGAATTTTGCAATCAGTGTATGCATTGATTTTGTTTTTGAGTTCATTTAGTGCCTTTGTGTGTGGGTGTTTGTGTATAATCAAGTACTTACTCTTGTGATCATCACACATCCGAGTTGTTGAATACACCAAAATTGATCATTCTGATTAGGTTTTGTTTCTAAAAGAACTCTCTTTTTATTTCCCCTATCTTAAATTTCCTTGCTTTAAAAGCCATTTTATCTTATGAATTTTATTGAGTTTTGCAGGTTCAGGAATCCCTATTTCGTAGAATTGAGCCATTATTTTACTTGCAGCTTATAATAATGGGATTTGTTTACAGAAGGTGGGATGCATGCCAGAGAAACTTTAAGCTCTAAGATGGAACAAGGAAGGAGCCAACAGCAACCATGTATTTCTTTCGTACCTGTTGAAGGTTATCTATCTTGTATTTCATGTCTCAGGCTAGCAGCAGTTGCAACAATGGTTTCTTGTGCTTTAGCTAGTTAGTTTGTTCCTAGCTAGGCTTCTATCCTATTTTGTTTGGACCATGTCATTTTATGTTCTGCTCTGTTTTATGTTTAACTTGGTTTGAAGAATTGTTATTTGAGTATTTTGGCTTGTAAGGATGGATCTCAATTTATGTCACCATTGCAATGATTGTTATGGCACAACATATTTGAGAATAATGGTTTGCAGGTGGGGTATTTACCCTGAATCTTTGGGTTTTTTTTTTTTTTTGTATAAATGACTGAAATGATAAAAACAAAACAACTAATTTAAATAAAGATAGCATTACATGTCACAACGTGATTGAGCCAGTAGCAACAAATATGGTTTGAATTGGAGGGAGGAGGAAAATAAAACACAAAGTGATTTGATTTTCCTCTCTAAATAAAGGAAGATTTAATCAATTTTTTCATTTTGTTGATATTAGAAAAAGAAAAACCAATTTTTCTTCATTTAGGCTTTATTTTGAATTGTTGTATTTTTAAATGATATTAAAATTAATTAAGAATAATAAAGTTGTATTTTTAAATGAAATATTATGTGATTTAAATATGGTATATTTTATTTTTTAATATTAAAATATAAACATTTATTTATCTATTAATATGAAATTTTTAATTACTAAATTATATTTTATAAATATAAAAATCGCATTTATAATTATCAATTTTAACATAATTAAATTAAAAAATTTAAAACTCTATAAAAATGTAAATAAAAAAAAAGAAGAGAGAAACAATGCTTTTTTAAAAGAAATGTCTTTTTCAATCATTTTAAGATTAAAAGATCTTTTATAAAAAAATTTACCGAACAACTTTTCACTCTATAAGTGCTTCTATAAAAAAATTTATCGAACACTTTCAACTTCTCAAAAACATCACTTTTACAACAGATTTTCTCTAATAGGACTTCTGTTAAAAGCTCCAATCACACCAAACGGGCCCTTATTAGTTCAAGTGAAAATATCTCAGTTCTCCTTAAATAAGATATTAAATTTAAGTTTTGTGAATAGAAAAACGCCAAATAAACATTGGAAGAGTTCTCCCTTTTATGAGGTCTGATACGATCTTATTTCAGATTAGTTGAGATTCAATAAAATTACTGAATATCATGAAGTTAATAAAAAAAAAACATAGAAAAGCTTACAAATAATAAACACTTGCTTTTTGGCAGTAGGAACACGAAAAGTTATCCAATGATTTTGGGAGGAATGCCCCACATTTATATCCCCTTTTGATCAAATTTAGCATGTCTAATAAAAGTAGTGATAGAGAAATTTTTTTATATAATTTTTATATGTTATTAAATAAATAAATATTTTAAATATTATATGTTTTAAATAATTATAATGATAAATGAGATTAAAATATGAAACTAATGATATAATATAAATTGTGTTATTTAAAATATGAAAAAGTAAATCATATATTATTTAATAATTAACTCTTTTTATTTTTTAGAACTCATGATAATGTATATATTAACTAATTTAATTATATAACTATATCATATCATTACTTCCAAATTTTTATCTTTCCTGTCATTACTTCTTAAAAAGAAAAGAAAAAAATAATAATTTAAATAAAACATAAAGTTGTAAACAAAATATTGTTTTTGAATCATTTGTTTCCAACTAGTTAAGAATGTAATTATTAATAGATAAAATTTTATAGTTATTTTAATTAATCACTATCTAATTATTTTACTACAATAAATGATATTTTCATATAAAAATTAAAATATACAACTAAATTTAAATACCATAAATTTAAAGAAAGTTTACAATGCAATGTTATTGATATTGTATCGTACCGATCGATACATATTGGGTTTTATATTAAATCGAAATGATATATTGTTTAATTTTATTTTGGTCAAATTTCATCCATATCAATCAAATTTTGATGTATCGATTGGTATTTCGACGTATCGGTCGATACACAAAAATTGGCTGATAAAACTCAATTCAAATTTAAAAAAAAGTAAATTTTATTTTTGGTTCTCAACTTTAATGTTTTACATAATTTTCATCCTTTAACTTTTTTATGTACTTTTTTAGTCCATCAACTATGAAAAATGTATTTTTTTTTAATTCTTTTATCAATTACTTCGTTAAATTTGTCTAAATATACACATTTTTAGTCCCTTAAATTAAAGTGGGTATACGAAAAAAATATATATATTAGAAATTGAGGGATTAAAAATAGTTATTTTAAACTTATTTTCAATTTATAAGAATATAATGATTTTAAATATTAATATCTCTTATGTTATTTTAAAATTTAATATTTAATTTATAAAAA